CTCCTACTCCTACTCCTACTCCTACTCCTACTCCTACTCCTACTCCTCCTGCTGCTGCTACTACTACTACTGCTACTGCTACTGCTACTGCTACTGCTACCACTACTACGGCTACTACTTCCACCACTACTACGGCTACTGCGACCACCACCACCACCACGACGACGACGACGACTACTACTACTGCTGCTGCTGCTGCTGCTACTCTCACCAAGCCACAGCGAGTCAAAGAAGTTGCCGGCGCTGTGTGTAGCGATGCCACCCCTGAAGGCGTTACCACACACAACGAGTTTTGATCGTCGCACATTTGTCAGCAGACATGCGCGGCTTCAAACTAGATAGATGGGAGGTCCCCCTTTATGAATAAGGACCAAGGTAAATCTCGTTTTGGTGTTCGTGGGAACTCCAACGCCAAACAGGGACGCGTGAGCAAGAACACCGAATATTTTAAACAGGGGCGACCTCAGTGCGTCGCGATGGCCACCGATGTACTGCAGAGATATTGTGAGAAAATTAAGCACGAACTTTTCCAGAGCGTTTTGCCATTCTGGGATCGTCACAGCGTGGACAATGAGTTCGGTGGTTTTTTTGCTTGCCTTGATGTGGATGGGGACCGCTATGATGACCGCAAATTCATGCCCCTTAGCTTGTGAAATCCAGGAGGGTGTCGGTGTCATACTTCCCAAACTGCAATCAAATCAAGTGGCAGCGCATAAAGATTCCTTAGGATCTGCGAATCAGAACATTTTCAAGAGAGCATCTTCCATCCCTCTAGCCTTCTATTGGCCTCAGATCACAAGCTCAAGTCAGGTGGTTGAATGGTCGGCAGATCTACATGTACGCCACCATTTGTGGGGCCTACACAGCCTCTGAGCTCTCAGAGCTTAGCACTGATCGTCTCAGCCGGGAGAAACTGCTGAAGGATGCCCTGAACGCGGCGAAGTTCATGTATGCGCATGGGGTCCGTGAAGGGAAGGTCTTCTTCTCTTTGACGCGCGAAGGCGCCGAGGCATTCTCAGTGTTGTTTAACACACGGTTCACTTGTGAGAGTCTTGCAGGGTGCTTTGGGAGATATTTGGGATTTCTGAAACACACAGGCCATGAACGACCATGTCCAGGAAGGGCTGGCCACACGTGTGTGTCTTGATTGTGTGGAACATGATGGGTGTAGAACGATTTATTCGAATGCGCCCATGCCCCATCCCTTCTAGACAGGTTTTATGGGAATGTGAAGCTGGTCAGGTGAACCTTACCACTTTGAGCGGAAAATCTTTTCGGCATGCTTCCTGTCTCTTGGCCTGGGTTCTTTGGGAGCAGTGCTGAAGCAAGATGGAAGGCAGGGTTCCTTTGATGTGTTTCTTGTTTCTTAATTTGTGGGAATCGAATCGACCTCCATCTCTGTACAGCTGGTGGAGCTAGATGAGCACGCATTCTGGGTGGCCAGGATTTTCTTGGAGACCTTTGAAATCGTAGCTGAACAGATTCTTGGATGTGCCCTGATTGCAGGATCGACGAAGGAGAAGGCCTGGTGGCCAAAAGCTTGCTACTCCTGAAGCTGATTATCGGGTGGAGTCATGACCCCTCGTCGCTTGGTCGAGAGGTGTGCGAGGGGGCCCCAAAGACGAGCCCTATGAACGTACCGATGATCCTCTTAAACATCCTGGATGAGCTGCAGGTGAAGGGGGCGATCTCGGTCGAATCTGCTATGGCTGCTGACATTGATGTGAAGCAGGAGGAGGAATGGTGTGTGGCAGAGATCATGAAGCACGTTAGGAGCGAGTGGGAATTGTTGTTGCTGTCTCTTCACACAAGTTTGGACTATTTCGCTTCCAGTCTTATGGCAGATTGAAGACTTCTGCACCTATGCTTGCGATTCTGAAGAACACAAGGCCACCCCATCCAACAAAGGGACATGTCAAATGTTTGCAAGTGGAGAATTTTCGGAAAGAGATCCCAACTAGTTACGGCAACCAATACTTCAAGTGATGTTGTTAAACAAATGGTTGACATTGGGGTGCAGGAGCAATGAGCAGCGAGTGCTGGAGGTGGTTCTGGCTGATGGCTCGTTGTGTCCTGGCTATGATGGACGACATATGAACCCTGGACATGCCATCGAAGCTGGTTGGTTTATTCTTAGCTACGCACAGCGAACGGCAAACCACGAGCTTGCAGAGGACAGGAACAAGCTGTTGAACAAGGTTCTTTTTGAGCATTTTAGCTGTTATTGGAAAAGGCTCTTTTCAGTGTTTATCATATCACTCAACCAGTGCTGTAGGTGGCGGAGAAGATGATCACTTGGTCCTTCGAAGCTGGATGGGACAAGGATCACGGGGGGCTTTTCTATTTCCTGGACGCAGAGGGACGCTCACCCGTGTTTTTGGAGTGGGACATGAAGCTTTGGTGGCCACACAATGAGGCTATGATTGCCTTCGCCATGTTGTATGAAGCTTCATGCAAGGAGGAGCACCTTCAGGCTGATCAGTAGTTGGCGTTGCTCTGTTTTTATTTCTCCAGACATTTAGCAGGTGTGATTTCATGTTTCAACAACCCCATTCAAGGCGTTTGTTCAAGTGGCAGACTACACTTTGGCACACTTCAGTGATCCCACCCATGGGGAGTGGTTTGGATATTTGAATCGCACGGGGCAGGTGACACATCGCTTCAAAGGAGGGCCATATAAAGGTTGCTTCCACGTACCCCGGTGCCTTTTTATGGTTTATCAAATTTTGAGCCGGTGCATTGCCAAGCAGCCAAAGAGTTGAGCAAAGCCCTCTCAACCTACTCTTTTAGAGCTGTGATGGTGCGCCAGACAGAAAATCACCAAGCGAGCATGCTGTCAGGCTTTTTGCCGAATTCCGAACAAAGTCGGTGCAACAGGTTGCTCAATGTCGTTCTCCGCCTTTTCTTTCAACCTTCCCTCTTGCCGGAAGGCTCCAGAATGATCTATATAAGTTCTTATGGACTCATAGAAAATACTGACGCCCTATTCTACAAATCAACATTGCAATTGTCCACAACTTGTTTCGATAACATTATACTTATCAAACGAAGCATGGCAGTGGCACTTTCAGAGGAGTTGCTGGGAACAGATTTGGGTCAAGTGACATTGCGATTCAAGCAGGAGAACAGGATAGCTGTCAGATTTTTCCTTGACTTTTGAAAAGCGTTGGGTTTGTTGGTGGCAAGTGTTAGTTCCGCGATTAATCCATCTTTGAAACTAAAAAACTTGCACCAAAAGCCCTTGTGACTGTGCTGTCTGAACTCCTCCTTTGCTCATGCTGTGTTTCAAAACATGCAACCACACGCCCCTTCCTTAGTTTTGAGATTGGAATGACTCAGCAAGCTGAAGTGCCGTTTGCTGGGCAGGAGCCTAGGAGCAATGGTACATGTGCCCGACCACTTGAAGGTTGGGTTTGTTCTATGTTTGAGAGAATCAGTGAATCAGGAATGGTCGTAAGGTGGAGTTCCTTGCAAGGTTATTTAGGTATTTAGGGAGTGCAGTGGTGGTCAGATGGCGGGACACATCATAAACTTGACATCTCGAAAGGAACCACTCTCTAGTAGCAGAAGGACCGAGATTGTCAATGAAACAATCACATTGTCCATACCCCTGGCTACTAGACGTTGGGGTCTTGGCCGTTGCTACAAACAAACGATCAACGCGTCAAAGCACTTTTTTGGACAAACCCGGCTCCAAAGTCTTGCTGCTCTCGTGAAAGGGCGCCAAGAGCCTTGTGGCCATGAGCTTCATCTTCGTCATGCCAGAAAAATGACGCCCAGGCACTACACAACGGGTGTATACTAGGAACAAGGACGCTACTAGGGGCTCCAGGCCTTACTACTAGGAGCAATGTTCGCTACTGGCATCGCTACTAGGAACAAGGACGCTACTACGTGTATGGAGGTTGCACGACTCAAACGGACTTGAGCCAAACCCGTAAAAGCTTACAACCAGTGGGTGTTCATTGGTGTCGCCATCCTTTTCATGGGTTAGCCGGTTAGCCGGTTAGCCGCTTAGCCTTTTGATCAGGCCTCTAGTCTTTCTGATTTGCGGTCGATGAACATGCTTGTTTGGGGCCGTTTCTCTCTAGGCCTGAATGTATCCCCAAAGCAACTGCTGAAGAAACAGCAAGAGCATTTCCTTCAAGGTCTGGCAATGCTGAGGGTTTGGTCTTGTGGGGTATACATCCAAATCCATGACCATTGACAACGCACAGCACAGCCGTGCTGTACTTTCAATGTCAGGAAACTTGATGACTTCCACCCAAGGCCAGTTGCGGACAGGGCAGGCTCGAGTCGAAAGGTCAACAACCCCATCAGTCCCTTACGAGTCCCTTACGAGTCCCTTACGAGTCCGTTACGAGTCCCTTACATTCTTTTCCGGTCAAGCGGGCCCCTTTACAGTATTTAGGCTGAAGGATGCTGAAGGCTAGTAGCGTTCTTCCCTAGTAGCGAACATTGCTCCTAGTAGTAAGGCCCCTAGTAGCTTCTTGTTCCTAGTAGCGATGCCAGGAGCCCCTAGTAGCGTCCTTGCTCCTAGTAGCGTCTTCATAGGTGTGCAAACCAACAATTCTACTCATACCAATCTCCACCAAGAGAGCCCCATGGTTCGTTCGCCTTTGATGACGTCTCGCACTCAACAGGTTGGGTCTTGCTATGAGTATGGCTTCACATGATTTATACAAATGAACTAACTAACTTCTTGTATACGGTATACCCACCCAGCATTCATGCTGGTTCGTACTCTGGTATTGCGATCATTGTCGCCTTTGGTGGGTGTCCCTGGTGATGGTCTGAGAGCGTGGACTGTGACAGTTGCCTGGACCGCGACGAGAATCGCTGGGCCATCAGCCTCAGCAGCCGAGAGATAACAGACTTCACAACAAGAATAGACATGTTGATTTTTCGACTACTGTAGGCAAGGGAAGCCCAAGTGCAACAGTAGTGAGTGTATAGCTGCATCAATACTCCCTGCAACATCCTGCAACCCTGAGAACCTAGGGCGCGGATGTCCGCAGTGCAGTGGCGCGCCTTGAGGCGCGCATGCACGCGCTGGAGGCGCAGAGAAAGGACGAAGGGCATGAAGGGCTGTCAAAGTGAAGCCATCTTCCTCAACCACTCCGACTGAGGGGTTGCGTGACCGTGACACCTGACCAGGACAACTTCCTTAAGTCATGGTACAAATTCAAGACTTTCAAGTACAATCTGGAGCTTCAAAAAGCTTTGGCCTCCTGAGCATGGGATCCCAAACTCTAAGATGTTTGCTACCGTTTTCAAGGTCTGGCCTTCCGTGGCCTCTAGCTATGTTCGTTGTGCTCAAGCCACTTTTCTAGTCTGACTGACATGGTGTGTTGCCACCTTTGCCTGCCACTTCAGATCGATCAATGGAGCCGGAGACCTGGTCCATCCCAACCCTGTTTAAGAACCTGTCTTTGGATATGAAACTCTTTTAAGATGTAATTACCCAGGTAAATGTATATCCAAGACATTGTCTAAGACTTTCAAGCGTTGCCAGGGGCAGAGCCTTCGCTCAGATCGCCGTGCCTCCGAGCTGGCCGGCTTGGCACAGGCCAGCGAGCCGCACGCCGCACGCCGCTGCGCACCGCTTCTTCCGACCGGGGCTCGTGTGATGCTTTCGCAAGCATTTGGATCCAGAAAGTGCAAGAGAGGAAGATTAAATTGAAGTCAAAGACACCATGGAGTTTCCTCGAAGCAGCAGCAGCAGTTGATTTCTCGAACCAGAGGTTTGACATGCGCATCAGGTAGAGTTAAACTGTTGAGTTCCTGGATTTGGATTCTTTTGCCTCGTTGGGACAAGGCAGGCAAGCACTAGCCACAAGCAGGATTCCCACAACTACCAACGCTCATGCATTTTGCGTGTAGACCCGGTCCCTAGGGAGTTGTTGCCATTGCTGAAGCGACGCTGTGTTGGACAATAGACTGCACAAACCCAACCGACACCACAAACCCAACCGACATCACAGCTGCCAATTTGATCCATCAACAACCAGGAATATATACGCTCGTGTGGAATCTCTGGGAATATCTTGGAATAGCACAGGTTTCAGCACTGAGTTTGGGTGCTTTGTCGACAACATGTCAGGCCCTCACAGAGGAGCAACGGGCTTTGCTGATCCGTCTGGACCGCCTAGAGGTGCGGCAAAACCGCATGAGGATCTGGGTTTGTTTGGTGCACCTTGCTGACAATCGCAGGGTTTGTTGTAGAGGAAATCTGAGTTCATCTTCAGGGTACTTGTTAGGCCTAGGCTGCAACTGGGGGAAGTCCTTACCAGGAAACTACTATCTCAAGTGGGTTCATTTCAGAATAGAACACCTCCAGACGCCGTTTGTTCAAGGCATCAGGGTCCATTCCATTGGCCTGTATTTGCAGATGATCCAACAATTCTATCCGCATCTTGGTATGAGCAAAACCTTGTGTAGGGTGCGAAGGAAATTCGATCAGCTGTGCAGGACAGAAGACTGGTGTGTAAACCCGTCTGGCCATGCGGCGTAGTTGCAATCCTTTTGGGGCAGACAAGAACTTACAACTCATTGGCGGGCCATCCCACTTTTTGTGGGCTCTTGTTCAGATTCACCTTATCATAAGCCTTATCATGTTGTTTGATTTCTATATTATCTATATTTTAAATTTATGCTTCGCAGGGGAAGCAGTGGGGCACAGACCGCGACCAACTGCCAGACTAACAGAAAATAACTCAAGCAGCTCGTTCACTCCCACACTACATGCCAAGTTAGAGAGGAGAAAGTTTTCAAATCTGAGTGGCCGAGAAATAAGGAGGCCTAATCATGCCTAATCATTTTGGACACCAGGTGTTTCCGGGCATGGGAGATGCACATGCACATCATTCCTTTTTATGCAGGACTTGAAGCGAAGAGATGCAGTCCAGGAGCGGCGTGGCTTTTCTTTTTCATTTAATATAACACAACAACCATTCGATCAAGTGCATGAAGTTGTGGTCAAAGAGACCGATGGATTTAGCTTCGTGTCATCACGCCTCAGTCTTTTGTAACTTTTTTCTATGCAGTTTTGTTGCAATAATAACTTACGCCATGTCACGTATCAACATGAGTATATGTGTTTGTAATGTTATGTAAATATGTAATGCATATATATATATATCTGTATTATGAAAACCAGCCGATAGGCTAGGCTGGAGTGCTTGATGGGCGAACGAAGTGAGTACTAGGGTGTGTGTGGGGGGGGTGGTTGCGAGATTGGACCTTTCGGGAGGGTGAATCCAGAGCCTGGTTGGGGAGAGCGAACAAGTTGTGGGCAAAATGTAGTAAACATGTGTGTTTATAAGGGCGTTGGTGATGCAAGTGATGCCAAAAAAGTTAAATAGCGCATCATTGGCGTTACAAAATGGTCAGGTGGACAGCCCGTCGCTTGTCGTGGCTTTGTATGAGGTGGAGACTATGGCTGACGGGTCGGGGACTACCCACATTCTGCTTGTTGAGTCCCATGAGAGTCGCACCTTTGAACTTGCTTGGGCACACACCAATCTAGAGGGTGCCCTTTTGTTTCCGGCTTTGGGCCCTTTTCACGCTACAAAAAGGTGCACCCCCAACATGACTTCTTAGACTGTGGTAACTTGCGGTACGTAACCTAGGAGAAGGAGAGCCTAGGTGATCAATCGCCCAATCCACTTATCCTATGCTTTGACCACTTCTCTTGATGTAGCAGCCGCAAGGAACATAGTACCACTGCCTGGCTGTGGGGAAGACAAGGGCACCAGCAAAGGAGCCAATCTTCTGGGTTCTAGCTAAGTCCCCCCAAGTAGTTGTAAAGAAAATACGTTGAACGTTTGAACGACTATGTTTGCGGTCTGTTTGAAGGGCATGTGCGGCCCAGTGGTGGTGCCCCTTTTGATCGTTTTGTCACGGTTTTGGGGAAGACAAAGAGGGCACCAGCAAAGGAATACCATCTTCTGGGATCTAGCTAGGTCCTCGTAGACGGCTGTGAAGAAAACACGTTGAAAAACTATGTTTGCTGTGTGCTGTGGCTTTCGTCCCCTCCCTTTTCAGGTATATGTATATATAACAATGCCATAGATCCTGTGAGTTTGATTGACAGATTGATTGGTGCCCCTACAGGTGCCTGAGGACCGTCTGGGGCGCCTGGAGCAGGAACATCGCACTTTAGCGTTGGAGCTCCGCTTGACGGTGTCTGTAGCGGAGGAGGCGGTGGTTTTTGTGAATCAGTGCGAAGGTTGGGGTAGTTTTGGGACAAGAACGATCTTTCGTAGTCATTGATCTGAACAACATTGAGTTGTATCGTCTTACGGATATGTTTGTGGTCGTTTCCATGGTTCAATCTATACAACTCCACGGTCTGACTGTGTGTAAAGCCAGGCGCAGCAGAAGCAGCAACAGCGAATTCGCTCAGTGGAGGCCTTGTCCTTCTGTCAACCTTTGTAGCCATCTAATCGACAATTGTAAGTATTTATAGGGATATAAGCAGTTGGAGGCCATCGCTCTTAGGTTGGAGGCCATTGCTTGTAGGTTGGATCCAGAAACTTTGCTGCCCGAACATCTTCAGGAGTCCTTGGCAACAAGGATCAGGAAACTTGAGCGCGCAGGCGAGGCTCCTTGAAACGGCGTACATGTGACCGGACTGGCGGAGATGATGTTCACATCGTCTGACAGATTGCACTGACTGACGTTCTTGAGAGACCCAAGCATCGACTTGACTGAAAGCGGTAGAGGTGAAGTCCAAATCGGAACTCAGAGGTGAGCTTTTAACCGTCTTTACTCAGCGGCTGTCAAGCTGAGGGATAGTTTTGGTTTCGGAAGAGCCAGAACTTTGACTAATGAGCTCAGCCACCATCGCTGTCAATATCATTTTCATTGCGGAAGTGTGGACAAAAAATGGAAACCACCCGAAAGCTTGCCCTCTCGGCCCTCTCTCGTCTCCCGAAGCTCTTTCCGCCTCGTTGTCTCCCAGTCTCCTCAAAGGTGGTGAGCCTGATTTGGATGGAGGCTGGGGATAGTAGACTCCTGGAGTTTCATTTGTTTCATGGTTACATCCACTGTCCAGATGAAGTGCTTGACAAGGACTTCCTTGGATCCCAAAGCTGGTGGTTGTTGGAATGTCTATTGTATATATGTAAAGTATAACTGTTAACTATATATTCTGTCGGACCAAGGGATGTGCAGAAACACATTCGTCGTCCAATCATGTACCCAGTACGTGTGCCCAGTCTGTTCAGGCAGACTTTCGCTGTCGGGGAAGCCTTCCGCCCTGATGAAGGCCTTTGACCCCTCCAAATTTGGACCAACTGTGACCAACAGCAGGCTCCAGCGCGGGGCGTAATTGGCCTGAAGCTTCGACTGGGAGCCCAGAAAAGAAATGAGTTTCTTATATTAAACTTGGAACACAGACAGAAGCCTGCTACTGAGACGAGACTTTGAAGTTTACATATTGCTTATTTGATCCTATGTGTGGATACATCCTCCTTTGAATTTGGTATGATATGTATATATATATACATACACAAATTGTATAATGTAAGTCTCATATGTTGAAAAAGGGTGGACTACGCAATAGAGGGGATCTCCTGAGACTATGGAATGGGGCGAAAGCCCTCGGGTGCCAGGGAACAGTAGTACATGTTGGATGCAAACTAGACGACCGGATGTCGAATCTTCATCTCAGGCCTTGGCGCACGGATGAGGCAGGTTCATGTCACAGCGAGACAGTGAGTGATCCTGTTGTGGAGCCCTCCAAAAGTCTACGGCCCACTGGTGCCCAACCAAGTTCGCTTTTGCCTGATTGGTGAAACGCTGACATATATTTTGGACCGGCATTTCATGATGAGCTACACCTACACGCAGGCCAAAGAAGCCTCACGCCTTTGTGCCTCAGAACCAGACAGATAGTAAAGGGATGGTTCTTTCGTATCCAATCCGAGTCCTTGCAATATCATTGTTGAAAAGGTCTCGTGCTGTTGAACAGCCTTGTGCCAAGAGCTTTCAGATTTGTTTGGGGCATTGAGACTTTGCCAGTATGTGCTACGTAGTAGATCCAGCCTCACACGATGAGATTGCAAATCGCAAGTACATATATATAGTAGTAAGGCCAGGGGCCACTAATATATATATATATATACTTGCACCTGTTTTGTACCCTTGTTTCGGTGTAGCCTGGCCCCTCCTGCAATCCTTTGGCCAGACACGGTATGCCCTTCTTGGCGGCACTAAGGAGTATGCCGTCTTGAAGGATTACTTATGATTTCTTGTTTGGCTTCGTCGGTGATGCCAAGATCTGTGCCCAAAATTACTGAGGTGACACCTTGGAGGCCAAGGTGGGTGGTTTGACAGCAAGTGTCGAAAAGCTCCAGCGGCAGATGGCAGAGGCAGTGGAGCACAGCGAAGCGAACAGATGGAGAGTTGCTGTCGCAAGAGTCAAACATCGAGCAGCGTCCTTGCTCCTAGTAGTAAGGCCAGGAGCCCCTAGTAGCGTTCTTGTTCCTAGTAGTAAGGCCAGGAGCCCCTAGTAGCGTCCTTGCTCCTAGTAGTGAAGTGTTCTTATGAGTAAAATTTGAGAACCAAATCATTAGTGCAAGCGCTTCTTCCAGCAGAGGGCGGCGGGAGCTTCCTTGAAGAAGTGTGAGCTATCCTGCCTCCAGAAGAGGTTTTCTGGTCGGGTCGGTAGGGTCATGTGAGACCTTGACCGTGCCACGCCTTGGTTCATTCCGACTTGCGGCCCTCAGAAAAGGCGGTTTCTGCCCTATTGACGTTTCCATACGTTTCATGTTTGTCAGGTCATACGCACGGGTGCATGGTGCGAAGAGATCTAAAGGACGTGGTGTCATACTGACTTAGTGCGCACATGTTCGATCACTGAATGCTTTGGGTACTTGTTTGGGGCATGCCTTTAACATGCAGTTCACAACAGTACTAATTACCTCTAATTACGATTTACTTTGTACTCGACTTTAGGGCAAGGCAATCACAACGGATCAAAGGACAGACAAACTAGCTGCCCCCTACGCGCCACGCCACCATTTTTTACTTCCCTTTTTTTTGAGAGTGGCAGGCTGTGGGAGTGCAGTTTTTTAGAAGATTGAATGTGATTGAATATATGTGTATACTAGTGTTGTGGCTCATCAGCGTCTAGTGTTAAGTTGCTTTTGAGCCTGGCCTTCTTGTGATGGCAGAGCTAGAAGGTGAGAGTTTGGCAAGACAATTGGGTGTGAGAAGGGTACCTTTACTGCAAAAGCTAAAATGTTCTTTAGACTAAGGTATAGTAAGACTTTGGCATAGCCAGTATAGGGTCACATCTCATATTTCTTAGAAAATAACTTATAACTTGGCCAAGTCTAATTAATTCCAGAGAGCAGGTGTTGCTGGGGGGTGTGAGTTTAAGACAATGATATAAAATCCTGTGTTTTACAGTGTTTTATTGCCCTGGGAGTGCTGGGAACTAGGTCAACACATTGCCTTTTAGGTAGACAGATAGGCTTGTTCAAGTAATATTTGGAATAATCATGTCTATATTAAGAAAGCTTTGTAAAAAAGTTTCTCTGCCAAAGGTTTTCCTCTAGATCTCTGGAATGATCCCTTCTATAACTAAATATTTTAAAGCTGCTAATTCAAGAGTTTTCCTCTTCATCTCTGGATTTTTTACATTAAGCCGCTATATTTGAACGCCTTTTTGTTCAAACGCTTTCCTTTAAATCTCTGAGAATAACTATTTCCATATTTAAGAAGCAGGTATATAAGCAATTATTTTAAGGCTTACCTTTTCATTTCTGAAAATAATCATTTCTATTTTTGAAACTGCCTTCTACATTGTAAGTGTTTTTTCCAAAAGCTGTTCCCTAGATTTCCGGGATTGGCCACTTCTATATTCAAGACTGATATCCAAGGTGCATTTCAAAAGCTGTCCACCAGATCTTTGGGCATGATGATTTGTTTACAGATTATATATAGAAACTGTGCATTTCACAAGAAAGGGCCTCTGTGAATAAATATTTATATGTTTCAATAACTTTCTATAAACATATATAAAAAAGTGTTTTGCACAAACTTACCTCCAGATCTCTGGGGTTGATCACTTCTATACTGAGCTTTGTTTGAACGCTTTTCGTTTTGATAGTTTTCCTCTGGACCTCTGGGAAAGTAGATTTTCTAGAGGTGTGTGATTTCTTTAATTTTATGCAATATATACTTATTTTGTTGTTTATTTATTTATTTGCACTTGAAAATCAACCCTTTTATGGAACACGTAAATGCAGACCCCATGGGACAAAACCAAAAACACCTTGAGAACCCACAAAAATGTATATTTATGAGGGTCTTGACTGAACCCTCCCACAGAGGACAAACTTCTGAAAACACGTTTTTTTGGTGTGTTTTAGCGTGTTTTCTTCAAGAAGTGCTCACAAAGTGCAGAATCTTCTGCAGAGTGCACTCCTGGCAATGTAGTTTTCTTAACAAAGGTTAGCAGCGTGCCCTCCTCGCAGTGTAGTTGTCTTGACACATCTTAACAGGGTGCCCTCCTGGCAGTGCAGTTTTCTTGACAAATGTTGACTCAAAAGAACACACATTTGCGAGGAAACTTAACATTTGTCAAGAAAGCTGCACTACCAGCAGAGCACTCTGTGGAAAATGTTGGACCCTGTGGACAAACACAAAAAAACAAAACATTAAAAACAAAAATCAATATTCAGAGAGTCTTGGCTGGGACCCCCCCCCTTCAGAGAGGCTGGGAATGTATATTTTTTTTGGTATCTTTGTTTTCTTGTTTTTTTGAAGGTTTTTGGCCTCCCTCGTTCCAAGAGTCTGCAACTATTGCCTTGTCTGCTACCAGGTTCAGGTGACCCAAATGATCATGCATATGGGAGTGCAGTTTATGTAGTAAAATCTAGGCCTATTATTGCTAATGAAAAGAACCTGAAAAACTGCAGTCCCAGGAGCTGCTGTTCTGTTTTTTTCCTGTAGCCCATGGCGCCGTGTTGGCGGACTAGGGGCTGAATCTACCCACATGTGGGTGGACGCTTTGCTCTTCGGGCTGCTGAAGCTTGGAGGCAAAGGAACTACTGTAACTACATTGACAACATTAGTCAAGTGGCTGAACTTCAGGCGACATGCATTTTCCAGTGACTTCCAAAGTTGCTATGTGTAGTTGTTACAATAAGCATTTGCTGTGGTACAACATTCTTTGCCATCGTATCAAACATTGATGTCAACTGTCATCTCTTGAGCAAACAGATATGGTAAGGCCAGCAACTTTATCCTGGGGAAGTGGCACAACTTACGTGGCCTATGTTAAATAATCTTGTGGAGGGGAGTCTTCATTTCAGTCCGTTGCTGTCATTGAAACCAAGGGTGCGTCCCAGCCTGGCTGAATGGGGAAACCACAGCCGACGTTATCGCCTGTGGCATGGGCGCGAGACAGAACGGCTCAAGGCTTGAAGCTGGAAAGAGGGGAGGGGAGAATGGTTTTGCTCCAAGCGCAGTTGGAATCAACGGAAGGTTTAGGATTCTGCTGAATGCTCCAAGGTAGTCTCCCAACCAACCAGCCAGCCAGCCAGCCAACCAACCAACCAACCAAGATTTGGCACACTGCTGGCATATCGATGGAGTCCCTTGCAGGCGAGGGCGTACTTTGGCCAGATCGCCAGGCGGGCGCTTTGGTTCTGGAATGGCCACTTGGATTGAAGCAACATGTTGGAGGACTGTTGCCACTTAACAGTTGTACTCAAGGATTCAAGAATGATGGGAGTGGCACTAAAGAATTTGAACAATCCACAGTTGATATTCCTGCAATTGCCCAACCCCAAAGCTGCTCCTCCTGGACCCCAGGAGTCGTCGGCGTGGAAGCCTTGCTGGGGCCGCTGAAGCAGGTCTTTGAGAGGCAGGCAGGGGTGTGACACAGCGTGGCTGTGCCAACCAACTGAATACCATCCGGTCATATCCGGTGTAGATTCCATTTTGACATCTCGTTTTTTGTTTCTTCGGCTAGACTCGGCTAGACACCACGGCTCTTGAGCTCCGGTTTATTTTGTGTGTATTTTAGTCATTGAACAGTTGGGTGTTGGGGGCCTTAGTGCAGCCATATCAAGGAGTGCCCTGATGATCCCTGATGATTATTTTTCGATGGCGAACATCAACCAATAGGTCGGAATCGGCTAAGTTGAACGAGGACCATGTTGTTGTTGTTGTTGTTGCTGTTGTTCCGATCTCAGAAAACGCAGGATGAAATGCCATGACCTGAAATGAAGGATGTTGAAGGATGAAATACTCAGTGAAGTCTTCAATATCCCTCAATCCCTGGACATGACTTCTCAAAAAATTCTTGAAACCCTTCCAAGTCTTCTCAGTCTCAGGGAAGCGATATCTTGGAATCACTTCTTCCACGTATTCAATCTCCGTTTTGACTCCAGGTCCGGGCGCCATGGCCTGCTGATGGATGTGGGTGCTCACCACGGAAATGCCAGTAAGGCCATCCTGAGCGTTCTGGGCCAGGCGGGTTGAGGAGCTAGTTTATCTAGTCAAGTTTCATGAGACCGATGTCCTTTGTAGTGGTGCCTCATCGACCTTGGCATTTGGGACTCCTGACAAAAGCCGTAGTCATACACGGTGGACATGGGATAGGAAATGACCGATGGGGGCTGACCCATTCAAGGCTATGTCCCTGGGCTAGATACAATGAGCTTTGGCACTGGTTCATAAAGCCAGAACATGGCGAGAGTGGTTCACACAGGCGTTACTTTTCTGGACTCCCAGCAAACCTGCTTGAAGGCAAGCACCTTCTTGTGGGACGAACGAGTGCCGCAGGCCATTTTGCTGTGCCAAAGTTTCGCCTTTACATTTGGATGGAGGTTGACGTCAGTTCAACGGGAATTGGAGTTGGTCATAGAGTCACCGCTAAAATCTTTTGATCACCCGAGGAGCACCTGGAGTTGGTGCTCTTTGAGCCACATCCAGCCAATTGTGCTATCCTGCGGAGGGAAATGCGTCGCTGGCGCCGGGGTCAAGGCGCACTGTGCTTATTTGGACACGGGCATGGTCACTATGTTGGTTCATTTTGCTTGCACAGCTCTGGGACCCGGATAACAAATTTGACAACTAGTTCGATTTGTGCGACTGAGAGTATTTCAGGACACCCACACACAAGAAAGATTATTGCATCCCAATGACTCATTTTGATGGAAAGGGTAGTTCTACCTGTTCGCTTAAATTGTGTCTGACTGTTTGAGCATGATTGGGTTCTGTAGCCGAAGTTCAAGAGTCAAGTGGCATTCTTGCACAGGTGCCGAGGTTAACCTGGTGCAAGCAGCTGTGTCTGACAAACCTGGAAAGCAGCTCCTCTATGGCCAGGGTGAGGGCGGGTCCTTGTCGCCGAAGGCAAGACTGAATTCCGGCCGCGTCACGTGCCCAGCTTTCATGGCAATCTTATCTCAGAGGAGTAGGGACATCGATGACACATTTTCCTTCAGATTTGTTTGCCAAACAATGAGCCTACCAAGCTATTGGGAGGTGAGCGTCGGCAGACAGCAGCAGAACACCAGTGCAGCCTACAGCGTGAATGTGGTGTCCTTGGACTCCTACCTTGAGAATCGCCGCTTCCAGGCCCACAAAGTGAGGACATCACGTCACATTATTTTTGTATATAGTATATATAGTGAAATTTAATCTGTCTATAGAAAGCCTGTGGGATCCAATCCCCTCACAATTAGACCGGCCGCCTGCCGCATTTGGCAGCTTTAGTTTGGATCTATGCCAGCAGCACAAAGCCTGGAGGCTGTCACACCCCCATTAAGCAGGAACAGCTTCCAACCAACCTAATAGCGATGGCCTCCATCCTAATAGCGATAGCCTCCAACCTAACAAAGATGGCCTCCATCCTAAGAGTGATGGCCTCCAACCTAATGGCGATGGCTTCCCACCTAATGGTCATGGCCTCCAACCTGCTAGCGATGGCCTCCAACCTATCAGAGATGGCCTCCAACCTAATATCAATGGCCAAAGAATGAATCCGGTCGGGACAGCCGTCAAGTTCGAACCAATCCGACAAGATGCATGACCAAAACCGACCACACTATCACTGCCAGGGAGAGGTCTTTCTTCTGAAGATCGATGCTGAGGGGTTTGACCCTTTGGCACCTCAGCTGCACAACATGCTTGGCAAGGGCAATTATGAAAGATATAGCCCTGCTTCGCGGTGTACTGCCCACACTGAAGGGATTGTTGACCTTTGCTTTTTTCTTTACTTTTGTCGTAGCCAAGATTCAATGAGTTACTGAATCTTCAGTGCCACCTGATAATCAATTTGTGTCGCTTCTAAAACTGGCCGGAGAGTTACACATGAATTCACATGAATGATATAGTTTCCAGATGTTTCCAGTCTCAGTTTCAGAACCCCGACCACCCCAAATTCAGTCCGCGGTGCTGCCAAGTTTCGACGGTCTACATTCAGAACATGGGCACGGAGGCCTCAAAGCAATTCTTGAAAAGAACACGAGTAAAGTCACTGTCTGATGCCTGAAATGTGCACACCCACACAAACCTCTCAAGTACCCCTCCAATGTTTTGTCAGGCAACACTGCGCCTTTGGTCGCTCTCCTTCTTCGGCAAACAGGTTAAAGGAACTTTGAACAATATTTTTGAATAATCAATCTTTGGACTCATAGTTAATTCAGATCATACTCAACCACACCACTTCACCGATTGGTGGCTGATTTGAAAGCCTCGTATGATTTGAATGATACACTTGAAAGCTAAGTCATGGTGCTTAGTGCCAGAATTGCATTGCTATTTGAGGTGATCCTTGGCGCACAGAAGCTGTTGACGCAGCGACGGGTGAGGCCAGACTGGGAGTTTGAGTTGCCAAAACTTCGGGGGTCTATGTGAGACGAATGATGACGAACCCTTGAAAGATTCTATAAGCAACGTTCTCTTTCGTTCACCGCGTTCAACCATTGTTGATCCTCCATCCCCTCCTGCGGACTTGAGCAGAAACGGGGCGATTTGAGATGGCATTTAAGGCGCCTGCTGCTACTACTGTTGACATTTGATCTCATGTTCAGATCTTGAGAATCTCAGGTGACAAGAATCACTAGACCTGGGCCCCATCGCTTGTGCTCTGACTCCTTAGTGAAAAGATGTGGATCTGACCTCGAGGTACCTAGTCTTCGAAGTTGATCGAGCATGGTTCTGGGCCTCTCATGGCATTCGGCTGGAAGAGGTGCGGATTGCTCCGATTGAGGTGTTCTCAGAAATGTTGCTGATTTATGATGATTTCTGGGGTTGTTCTTAGAAGTCGCAACAACATATACAACATAGCGAAAGCCATCGTGGGTGTTTGCTCCGCTCGCCGCCCACCTCCAGAACGGCATCAGGATCAAAAAGAAATCCCGACTAGGTCCCCTGGTCCTTTGGTCCGCTGGTCCTTTGGTCCTCTGGTCCGCTGGTCCCGTGGTCCTTCGGTCTCCTGGTCCGCTGGTCTCTTGCTCTCCTACTCCGCTGGTCCCCTGCTGCTTCGGTCTCTTGATCCAGCGGGCACCTAGACCTAGTCCCTTGGTCTCCTTTTCCGCTGTCTTGGTAACTCCCTAGTAGAGAGATAGCTTCCCAGTGGGGTGCTAGCTCGCTGGTAGGGTATTTCCCAGTAGGGGGATAGCGCTGTCTATACTTGATTTGCATTGCCGGGGAGGCGCTGCGCACCACTACTACTACTACTACTACTCCTACTCCTACTCCTACTGCTGCTGCTGCTGCTGCTGCTGCTACACTACTACACTACTACACTACTACACTACTACACTACTACACCACGGCTACTGCTACTACTACTACTGCTACTGCTACTGCTACTAGTGCTAGTACTACTACTAGTACTACTACTAGTACTACCACTAGTACTACTACTAGTACTACTACTAGTACGACTACTACCACTACTACTGCCACTACTACTACCACTACTACCACTACTACCAATACTACCACTACTACTACTACTACTAATACTCCTACTACTACTACTACTGCTGCTGCTGCTGCTACTGCTACTACTACTACTACTACTACTACTGTCCTTTCTCAAGTCTCTTTTACTTCGCGGTGATTTTTTTGATCCTTTTCTTTTTTGATCCCTCACCCATCTCCAGAACGGTGAAGTGACACACATGTCCCGAACGGATTCGCGAGGTCGTTGAGCATCTCTTCTCCTTTGGCTACCTTTGCTTTGTCATGGACATAGAGGCCTGATTTCATCACGGACACTTCCCGGTTGTTTTTTTTGAACTTTCGTCACTTTAGTCAGTCTCTTTAGTCGGGCCGGGCGTCCCAGCTTCAGAGGTTCTTGGACGGGAAACAGATCCTTGACAAGGCAAGTCTCAATGAATCTCTTGACATATACTGGTAAGGTATAATGATGAAGGACTTGGTCACCACACGAGGAGTGTGACGGTATTCAAGAAACTGGCCACATGTTGCACGTTGATCACCTTCTTAACTTTAAGATGCTTAAAAGTTGGAAGTCAAAAGTTAAATGCCAATCTTTTGGGCCCAGATTGAGACATGAAGTCTGTCATGTCAAGTCATAATGTGTGAATTGACTGGTCGGTCTATCCAGCCCCAGCCCTCAATCTAGGCCTTGGCTCCTGTCTACAGCTTCTGGTGGCATCCGAGCTTCCGGCACATGACCTGGTCGAACGTGGCCCCGACTTGTTTCGGTAGAAACGTTCCGAAACGCATTTGACGGCTGCAAGTTGTAGAGGGGGACCGGGGAGGGCTTGTGTCAAGTGGAGATGTCAACGAAGCACCATGAAAGGTTTCAATAGAATAACATATAATATAATGCTACAGGTTTATATAGCAACAACATTCAGCATTAGCGATGTCCAAACTCTATAGAGACAGAGAGAGAGAGAGAGAGTTCGTCAGGAATAGTATATAAGGAATGTCAGACACTTCAGTCACATCAGTTTGTACAACATGTTGGGTCAACAGGGGGGTTGCCCGGAAAGCAACCTTTCCGATGACCCAACATGGGCTCTGGTGGGATGCAGACGATCCACTTCGCTGATGATGATGATGATGACGACGATGATGACGATGATGATGAGGAGGAGGAGGATGATGACGAGGATGATGATGATGATGATGATGATGATGATGATGATGATGATGATGA